CTGCAGCTCAGCGATGTGATGAACTGATGGCATTAGTTGCGACCTCCGTCTTGTCGAAGCTCCAAAATTCACGTTTGAAACCCGTGCATTTTGTGTAAAAAGTTGTTTTTCTCTGCAAAAAGAAGCTGAGAACTTGTTTACTGATTTTTTAAATTAAAAGCCGTGTGTGAAAAATGCTATGCTAAAGAGCTCAAACCACACCGAGCGTCCACCATTTTGAGAACCGAAGAGAGACAGCCCATGTCACGTCAAGGGGCCTCCCTCCCATTTTTCTTAGAGACACGCTGCTCACTCCCTCACTGTCCATCCTTCGGTTCAAACAGTCTTATACTGCCATCCAGCGGTCAAAAAAATTTACTACACAAAACAAATTAAACATTTCTTCTTAAATTTGACAGTAATTACTCATTATTGTCAAATTTCAAACAATATTATCGTTTATCGCAATAATTTCTGAGACAATCGCCCAGCAAAAGTTATCGTGACAGGCCCAATGACACATCAACTTTTATAGTTTGTTTAAAAAATAGTTAAGCACAAAGAGGATCGCTAAAGTGAGTTAACTCGTTGAGCATGGACTTTTTTGGTTCATTCGTTACAGTAAATGACACGATGGAAACGTCCGACACACGTTGAACCCATCACAGCAGAGCTCCGCCTCTTTGGTTCCGCTCGTAGCTGAGCGGGACGTGGCGGCTTCATCAGGCTTGAGGAATCTTAAACACGGGCTCGTCTGTGCAGCCATTTCACAGGACCGTCTTCTGAATGCGCCTAATGTTATCGCTGCTGATTACAGATGTCCGAAAGCGTCAGCGCCTCGATACTTATCCAAAATAACACAGTGAGTCAGCAGGGCACGCTCACAACAGTGACTGGAAGATGACAGTAGGTCAAAGGTCGGAAAGTGCTGCGGAAATATATCGAAGTGTGTCTGAACCTCACGACCACGCCCTCTGGTGCAGTCGATCGTTAATCGTTTAATTTCCTACAAAGGCGCTTAATTTGTTTGCTAACACGAATCTCCGTGTGGGTTGGAAGGTTTTTCCTGAAAGAAGACAACAAGAAAGGAGGCAGGAACTTGTTTACATGCGTCGCCTGTCACCCAAAAGACGACTGCGTTGCTACGGGGCACGAAGACGGCAAAATTCGACTGTGGTGAGCCGCATCATTTATTACCGGTACCGTGCAGTTTCACCCGTCGTTTCTTTTTTCAGACTTTCTTGTGATGTGTTGAAGCAGTCCTGAGAAAAGTTCGTCAGACTTTGTGAAACTGAGTAAAATAAACTTTGAAAGGTCGTCAAAGGGTCAAAGCCACGTCGGAAGATCAGAACTGGCTGCGTGGAAGGAAAAACATGACGAGCCAGAATATATTCGAGTATTTACAGTTTGTTCTTTCAGGAGAAACTTGAACCACGAGAAGGAGTACACCTACTCCACCCTCCACTGGCACTGCAGCGCCGTGAGCTCGGTCCGCTTCACCCCTGAAGGTACCGCTCGACGTTCTCGATGTTTGGCGCAACGACTAGATTCAGACTAACGTCTTTCTGCATCCGCTCTGTTGACTCAGGCACCAACCTGCTGAGCGGAGGAATAGAGTCCGTCCTGGTCCAGTGGAGGTACAACCAGGAGAGCCAGAAGGACTTCCTGCCCCGACTGGGCGCTGCCATCACGCACATCGCCGTGTCGCCCGACGGAGCGCTGTTCTGCACCTCCCACAGCGACAACAGTAAGGAGTTCACTGACGGAGAACGGCGCTTTGGCACCTATTTTTTTTTTTAACGTGGACATAGTTTGACTTCAGGGATTAATGAGATTTCTCGTCGAGTTAAAAAAATGTCTGGTGAAATTATGAGTGAGATGTCAGGCGGCGCCTCTGCAGCTACGTGCTTAGAGGAAGAGTCCATCCACATTAATCTAAAACTGCACGCATGGGCTCGGCTCGGGTTCACAGGCCTTCCATTCCACCGGCTTCCAGCTCTGAACTCAAGACCTCCTCGGCTGAGGTTCCACACGAGCCGAGTCGAGCTAAACGTTTTGATTTGACGTCAGTCCTGTGAGCGTCTCCTTCACAAGAATTGAATCCACAATTCAACTCAGTGGCGCAAAAAGAACCGTGAATATTTTGAAAGTAACTGTTGTCTGATGATTCGCCCACATCGAGGGGGCGCTTTTATCGAAAACCACCAAGACCGTGCAGACCAAGTTTCGTAGTGAGATTGGACAATGGATAAACGACTTTAGTCCGGAGCTCCAACGGTGATTTACTGATCGAAGCTTAGAAAATAATATCTGAACTTGTCGTCTGTCGGTTTTTATCAAGAGGAGAATCGATCGGAGCTTTGAGTCGAGTTCAATCAAACTCTGAAGGCGCAGTGATCTCTGAGCCCCCAATCTTTGTTCAGCAGAAGGAGCAAATTTCCTCTGCGCTGAAAATAAACCAAAGTAGTTTCACTCTAATGTCCTCCATGGGTCCTGAAGCAAACCTCCGGTAGTTTTAGGATGATCCGTAGCAGCTGTTTGAGTTTTCATGAAGGGTCTTCCTGGCTTTGATGACTTTAGTGTTTTTGTTTAGAAACCACGAAGAGCGATTTAAGAAAATTAAAAAGAATCAAATAAATCTTTTTTTTTTTTTTATTCTTATAAACCGTTCTGACGAAGAAAGTGATCTCTTGAGAAAATGTGAATATTTTAACTGAAATCTGAAAAAGACAAATTTGTTTTTTCATTAAAATACTGAAGAGCATGTCTCATATACTCCTGTTCTACATATTTATAGTATCTTATATAGTAGTAGTAGTTTATATAGTAGTACATATTCATTGAGATTCTTTGGCTTCGGTTACTTGCTGAGGTGCGTCTCCTTCACATGAACGATCCCCGATGTACAAGCGCGTCACGGCTGCTCTGTTTGAAACTCTCAGGTCGTTTTAATAATTGATTTCTTTCCTTATTTAGAAATCACCATCATCCATAGTTGTGTCAAAGTTTCTGCCGTCATTCAGGGTCTGGTCAAAGGTGAGTTCAGACCGTTTATTATCAAAACTAACTTAACGTGTGTCATAAGTATCCTTTTTTAATTTAGTCATAAATGTTTGTTTTTGTGTTTTTATGCCGAAGCCTGAAGATTGCATTTAAAATTGTTCTTTATGTTCTTCTTTAGTTTGGTTTCTTGCTTGAAATGACTCGTAGTTCAGACATAATGAATCTAAAGGGACGTTTATACTATACTAACTATAAATAATTAATATCTTACCTGTTAGAGGCGGCTCTCTGAACTGACGAAACATGTCTGAAAACGAGTCCAATCATGAAAGTTTGGTAGCGTTTTTATGGGAACGCTGTTTTATAAACTCTTCTTTTGCCATCAGTTTTATTTTCTGCAGTTTTATTTACAGAAGTATTATGGTATGTCTGCAGGAAGTGACCCGGGCTGCACAGGAAGTGCAAAATAATGTTTTGCTGACGTTTTTGAGATTGGTTTTCAAACGACTAGTTGTTAGCTCGTTAGAGTTTAGCCGCGTCTCCAAACTGAGGTCGTTCTAAAGTTTATCTACAGCAGGTAAGATATTAACTGTTCAAAATCTGCCACAGAGCCCCACTTCAGACGATCTGAAGTGTCTCTTTGACAAACAAAAAGCATTTCTGAGGACAGAAACTTGGGCTTGCCTCCTCTGCGTATTTTTAAAAACTGATTTTTGCTTTGAAGAACTTTAAAGTCCTTCAGAAAACCTGGAGAACTGTCAGTCGAGCCCGCTTTAACCGAAAGTCTAGCTACTTTGAAGGAAAACTTATAACTTTTTTAAATTGTTTTAGCATATTTTTCTCTTCATAAAGTGCAGATTTGTTTTGTAAAAACTTTTCTTCTGTCCCCACGAAGGTGAAAACGTCAGAACGGACCTGATGGTGGATCCACGCAGCAAAGCTCTGGTTCTGAACGGAAAACCGGGTCATCTTCAGTTTTATTCCCTGCAGAGAGACAAACTTCTGTTCAACGTGAGACTCTCTGGTTTCTCTGTCGTTTCTTTCCTTAAAACGGGTCCGTTCCCCTCGGTTCCTACTCGGCTCACGTCTTCGTTTTAAGCACCTGGCGAGGCCGTCGTCTCGAGAAAAATCTTTTTCTCAACCTGGGTGAAATAACGTGGATCTGCCTCGATCGTAAAAAGGAAAAATACCCAGAATTCCATTCGCCGTCTATTTGTTTACTTCCTGTTTGAGATAGGTGCCATAATCTTTAACAACCCAACAGGCTGTTAGTTTATGGTTTTAACATCACTTCATCACCAGCAACATTATTGCTTATTATTTTAACGCTAAAAAAGACAATTACAGTATTTCAAGACATAATTTGTCCCCAAACTTTATAGGTTTAAAGCTCTGTAACTTTCCTGTTCACAACCTTTTCGTCGTTTCAAAGTTATTGTAAAGAAATCGTAAACGTTAACGTGAAGGGAAACTGACGGCGCCATAAATCGGGCTTAAAGTCGGCGTGTTTCATCCAGTAACGTTTCGTTCCTGACGACTCTGCGTTTGTGGAGATTTACTCCGAAGTCGTTTGCTTTTCCTCGGACAGCTGGACGTCGTGCAGCAGGAGTACATCCACGAGTCGGGCCTGGAGCAGTTCGAGGTGGTCCGAGCGGCGTTCGACGCCTCGGGGTCCTGGTTGGCTACGGTCGAGGAAAGGAAACGGGAAACTGCTGATCTGGAGCTGAACCTGAAGCTGTGGTGTTTTGACGAGCAGCCCCAGAGGTACGAACGTCTGAGCTGCGGTTTATAGATGTTTGTCCTCTTGGAGCCACGTCTGTCGGGGTTTTCTCGGTTCTGACCTCCGTCTGTGTGACTCACAGTTTCGTGCTGAACACGACCATCTCGGCCCCCCACGAGGCGCGGATTACAGCCGTGTGCTTCAACGAGACGGCGGACAGCCGGACCACCACGCTGGTCTCCAGCAGCACAGACGGACACTTCAAAGCCTGGCAGCTGGCGGTACCGGACCACACAGACGGTGAGCGGGAAGCCCAGACTGGATTTATTCAGGTTTTTAACAGCGTCGGATCGTGTTTGAGTCCCTTCTCAGGTCTGGATAACTGAGAAATGAAGAAAAAAGATCTGGTGTACTTCTAATTTTCTATAATAAAACTTTAAATAAAATATGAAAACTGACTTTATTACAAAGTATAAGTATTTAAATTCATCACTGAACGTTTGCAATAACATAGAGGAAAGGTTTTTATAAAAAAAAAAATCTTCAAATCTGTTGTAAACTTCAATTGTAACGAGTCAGACTCACAAAACAATAATAAAACACTGAGTCCCTGCTCGCCTGACGGTGGTGATTAAATCTTTACCTGAGGAGCTTTTGATGCTTAAAATCAGATTTTTTTAAATAATCCTAATATTTTAATATCCATGCAGCCCGGACTGTCTGGTTTCGAACACGTTTTATGTTCAAGAGGTCAGCTGGAACTGATTCTTCTTGTTCGGCGTCAGATTTTGGATTTTCTCCTCGTCAGACTGAGGATTTGTTGCTCGTTAATCCGCTCCTTCCTCTGATTGTGCCGGCAGACCAAGATCCTTCCTGGTCGTGTGAATTTGTCGGAGACTACCACGGCCTGGTGCCGGAGCGCTGCTGTTTCTCTGCCGACGGCTCGCTGCTGGCCGTCGGCTTCCAGGAGGTGGTGACGGTGTGGAGCGCTGCATCATGGGAGCTGCTGACGACGCTGTCCCAGCCGCCAGGAGGCATCAGGTCAGAAACGACCCCTGCACCGCCGCCGATACTCGTACGGTGGATCCTTCAACCCTCAGGTGGCTTTGTGAGGAAGGATTCTGTATTAATTTGTTTTTGTTTTGTTGGTGTCAGTAAACACAGCCTTTTCTGACAATTCCTAAATAATCTAAAACAAGTAAAGCTTCCCTTATGCTGGACTCTTCTTTGAAAAGGCTGCAGGTTTCTGCTGACCCGGGTCTCATCTCACCTCACAGAACTGTTTCAGTTCGAGTGTAAAGAGCATGAACGCATGCGTCGTGCACGAGAAAACATTTGGCACAAAACGGTCGACCCACATGCTAAAGCAGGACTATTCAACTAAACCGCTCAGGGGTCAGACATCCAACAGTTAGTTTGTTTTATGGTTTAAAATTTAGTTTTATTTGAAAATGAACCCAACAGAGTTCATCTGTGGGCCTGATTTGGCCCCCGGGCCGCCAGTTGAGCAGCCCTACACTAAAGGCTGAAGGTTCGTCCACGCTGACTGCAGCTCGGACGAAAACGAGGCCTCTTCGGCAGATCGACGTCGCTGCCCGGTTCAGTAAAAGTAAAAAAACTAAAGAATGTGGAGTTTGTTTGTTTTTTTTAACTAAAGGCTTTCAAGAGCTCTAACATAAAAAAAAAAGTTTATTTCAGGCTTGTATCGTTTTAAAAGATCGACTAGTTTATAGTTTACAAAATTATATCAAAACAACAGGATTTAAATGAGGTGGCTGGTTTTCCCCTCGTGGAAGAGTTATTGTAAAGTTCAAGGACCTTCTGAGGGTGAATCACTGAATTGTTTACATTTAAAGTGTTAGGATGTAAAAATGAGCTTTAAAGCTCTTAAATTTAAATTTTGACCAAAAGTTTTTACAGTAGTCCCTCGTTTATCACAGGGACCCTGAAGCCCCGCGAAAAGTGAAAAACCACGAAGTAGGCATAGTAGTACAAGTAGTAGG